AATAGGAGGAAGCCTGTTTGCAGAGACAAAGTATGGGCAGTTTTGCCACCGCACGGTTCTCTCCTCAGCTTACTTTCTTGAATAAAATGCCCTTCAATTTTTAGCATAAGGATTTTAGAAAAAAGTATCATCTTATAGTCGGAAAAATATAGTAATTGATTCCCCTCCTTTGTTTTTATGTGCTTGCTGAAATTCATGATTTTTTTTCAGAAGATGCCTGGCGCAAGAATTCACATTTGACTCTCCTTGTGAATGCCAGTGGTCATGCTGTTAGACTCCATTGTCAGAATAGAGTTTATCTGGTATTGGCTGGATCAAAAGGGCAAGTGGATTGAGTATGGCCAAAAGGTAAACTTTTATTTCCTGCTGAATCAGGTCTAGGTAGCAGTCACTGCTGCTTCAAATAGCTTGAATTCTGCTTCACAGATTTATTGGCTGGGTTCACACACTGCAATAAATTATAATATACTGTTTGTTTGCCTTTGGTTTAGTGTGTTGCATAGTGTGGCCTTTGTGACTTAGGACACTGTGAGTACAGCCAATAATGGCTTATTAAATCACGACAAAGCAAACTATGGCTTAATATGATATTTGAACTTGATCATTGTCTGCTGCTCTAGGCAGCACTTGATTTAACTGACCTAAGTTAAAGAATTGTATATTTGAGTGAACATGAGGAGGAATTGCTATTTTGTGGCTTTAAGGTTTGCTGTCTAATGTGTTCAAACACAATGGCCAAAGCTAAATTATTCATTTCCCTATCTTTCCCTTTAGTTTCTTCTTCCTACCATATTTTTCTTTCTGTTTTGCAGGATTCTGAGCACTGTGCTGCCTCAATATCATCCTCTGAGTTGGAGGCTACTTTCCTAGCTGACCACAGAGGAGTTGTATTCTTCCAGGCTGGGACTCAGCTGTATGAATTAAATTTCCAAGGTAACATTTAGCAATAGTAGCTTGGTATGTGGCAACGACTGCTAACTGGGGTGTCCATGGTTGTGTGTGTATGTCAAAAAAGTCAAGATGGTGGTTGCAACTCATGTGATCAGACTTTTTTAGGAATGGGGCTTTGGTCACACAGTTGTGGCTACCATTTTGACTTTTTTTTACTCTCCCTGCAGACATCCAGGTTGCTAACATGAACATTATTAGCCTAATTTCTTCAAATTGTTACAAGCAAAAATATATACAAGTGGCCAAAAAATTTACCATCTATGATTACTGAGTAGCATTCTGTGGGTTTTAAAAAAACATCCGAGCAAATGTCCATTGTTGCCAATAATACGCATTTTCTTGATAGGCCATTAATTTAACCATTTTAATCATTAAACATTTTGCTCAACCACAGAGTTCTTGGATATATTGTCTGTTCTTGATAATATTTTGGTAAGATTAAATTGTCATGAGACTGGTTTGACCAAGACGCTGGTATCTTGCCTTGTTTCTAAATACTACTAATCCCAACAGTGCCAGTTGTGGAATAGCACAATATTTTTTAGGAAGTGAAAATGACATCCTCTTGTGTGTACCTTGTATTTGCCAGGCTGGAACACTATACTGTTGCTTTCATAATCTTGGTCTTGTTGGAAGTCCCCATTACTGGTAAAGATGCAGTTCATGAAGCTAGGTCAGACAAACAAGAGAGCTTTGACCCTGACTGAGATATTATCTGTAATTAAATAGGTCTCTGGGGAAATTCTGAGCACTGCAGCTACCGTTGGCCATGTTTGTTTGGCCCTCCTTCCTTCCTCTCTCTCATTACCACTCCAAAGTTCTTTTAGCTTGTAAATAACTATTCCAAAAGTACAACAATGGATTTGAGCTCTTTTCTGACTTTGTGGCAGGATTGAGGATCTTGGGGCCTCAAGATGCTAAACTTCAATTTTCAGGAGCCTCAACCACCATGGGAAGTGCGGAAGATGCTAAGATTTGTAGTTCAGCTACATGTAGAGGGCCTTATTTATTCACAGAATCTATAGGCTGCTCTTACAGCAAAGTTCCGCAACTGGTTGTAGCAAGTTAGAATGTGAGAAGTTATATACAAGAGTACAAACTGATGGAAGTTAGTCAGGACGTACAAAAATATTTCTCTGCCTAAGATGGGCAGAAAATTCCAGTCTTCCCCCAACAAAGTACAAAGGTTTATCAGGAAACTATAAATCCCTCTCTCCCTCTTTCCCTGAGAGTGGTAAAGACAATACAACAGTAGTGAGATGACTAACCATTTGCTACCCTTTCATGATATCCACATTCCGTCTTTCCCAACAGATTTGCGTTCCATCACTTTCACTGCCTTCAGATAATTTCTCCAATGGCTTGATTAGAGGGATAGTCCAAACACCTGGCGTGATCTTCTTTAGTTTAATTAGTATTCCTTTGAGGAATAATCTGGAGTAGATTCCCTTTTTTGTGTATCTTCTTTTTGTATGAGAAAGGGGAAACCAGAAATTAAATCCTTCTCAATGTCGCAAGAAAGCAGGAAGTTATGCTGCAGAAATAATTAAGAGATGAATATTCTGCCAACTTCTAGCAACATTCAATAAGAGGCAGTAGGAAGAAACCTAACAGTAGGAAGCAATAAAGCCACAGAAGTCCTGAACTATATCTATGATTCTTGAATGCTCTACATTTGAAAATAGATTCAAGTGCAATGATGCTTTAAGTTGCTACAAATAAAAGGTGGTTCAGGGCAGCACAAACCAATGTTAGAACACTGATTAGCAAACAATTCCACGTTCTTAATTTTAAAAAGTGATCAAAGGATGAGAGTTCAGGAATAAACTGCTATGCTGAGTTTCCTATTTTGGATAAATATGTGACAATTCTTTTCTTCTCTTGAGAACCAATAGTAAGTAAATGTTAAAACAGTTTGAATTGGTGTGTTCCCCTGTGTATCTTTGTAGTGTGGAATGGAAGTTTTTGGATTTCTAGTTACAGGCCTTCCCTCTAATATGTTGATGATCAGGTGTAAATCTGGCCAAGTTCACCAAATATACTCTTGGGGTGTACACAAAATACTCTTTTTTGTGGCTTTTCTGCACGGTAGGCAGAGCTTTATCAACAAAAGCAGCCAGTGGTAGCAGCCCACAATGCCTTGTATCTAGGCTAAATTGATAAATGAATTAATTCTTAGTAGAGATGAGTTATTTGACAGTGTGCTTTGCCGTTTCCTTCAAGAGATGGTTCAGAGAAATGTGTACTACCGAACACAGAGGAGAGTCTGCAGATGGCCCAGACTGGTATTTTTTGGAGGTAGACGCAAAAGTGAGAAGAGGTAATTAATATTTTTCACAAAATTACTTATATAGTGTTCTTAGGTTGGTTTTCTTATCTGTTAAAGACTTTCCTATCTTTTTTCCTCTCACAATATAAGACAACCTTATTTATTTATTAAATTTATATGTCACCCGTCTCCCCCAGAGGGTGACTCTGGGTGGCTCACAATTAAAATCAAACATTACAAACAGTAAAAATATAAATATCCATATTAAATTAGCTAAAAAAATAATACTATATCATCTTGATTGCCTTATATCACAAGTGGACTACCTGTGGACCTTTATCAGGTTGTGGTCCCCAACCTATGGCCTCCAAACCTCCCCCCATTTCCCATCTTGGAGCCGGCCAAAAGTTAGCAGAAGTTTTTTGTGTTTCAGGCAGCCAGGAATTGGTTTAAGGGACATCTACTGCATCTCTTAAAAGCCCATAAATTTTTTTAAAAAGCACCCCAGTCAGGTTTTTCCCATGGGATTAAGAGGTAAAACGAGTGCTATAAAATCTGCAATGCTTACATAAACAATTTACCTTAAAAATTCGCCCCTTCCCCCAAGTTTCAGCTCTGCCACTGCAATAATTTACAATGACACTAGCCACAGTCCTTGTGGCCCTCGGGCAGGAGAGATCATCACAGTACAGATCTTTGTCCAAAATCACATAATATTGTGGAAGAAAGGATAACTATTATCTTGGCAGGAAAATGAAGGAAGAAATTTCAGCCATTTAGTGCAAAAGGTCTGTGGAAAAGAAACCCCAATACCCTAATCCAGTGAAACATTTCCAAATACATAAATAGTAATTGGATTCATACATTGTGCTAATCAATAAATTGTTTAAACCATGGTCTTGTTGGCCTGATTTGCACTCACTTGGTCATAAACTCTGCTTTACAAATCACACCAGTAGGTTCGTACCTCACACTAAGCTAAAAGTTAAACAAACCACATTCTGACAATGCAGTACATAAACCCTCCTGCTGAATGAGTCAATGGGCATAACTCAATGTTTCTCAGTAATACTCAGGTGCTCACAACACTGCTGTAATGCACTCATACTTTTGTCCTGAGATGTGCTTGATTCAGATTTCTGGGGTGGTTGTTTTCAAGTGGGTGCCTAAATACAAAAGATTCTTGCGGTTTGCTGAGACTTTAATCATGTTTACATTATGAGCCATACATGCCTAGATTTCCACTTCCCAAGATATGCTTCCACAATCATTTTGCTGGAGGTGAAACTCTCAACCTATTTGACCATAAAGGGCTCTGGGATGCGAATTAAGCCTGCTCTCTGGCTCTTCTCCTGGTAGGATGTGGTCAAAAAGGTACTAGACTTGGTCTATCTTTATGATGTACTTCTTTAAATTAATCTTTCTGTTACAGGTAGAAAACCTGCTTTGTTACTCGTGGCTCAGATGCAATTCCCAGTTTCAGGATACACTTATGCACAAACACTTCCTCTCCATTATTTTACCCCTTAACTTTGCTGCTCCTGAATTAGATGAAATAAAAGTGATGAGGTTAGGGATGTCTTTCCTGTTCTACTGTAGCTTGAGATAACTCTTGGGAAAGTTATTTGACACATGATTGGAGGGTCTAACACAGTTTTTCTTGACCTGATATCCTTCAGAGTATGGGATTACTGTTTGCATCATTTCCAGCCCTGATGGATATTTTAGCCAAAGGTCTATGGAGTTTATAAAATTGGAGAACACTGCTCTAAAAAAGAGAGCTTGAGATTAAATGAGATCAGTCTACAACAGGAGCACTGTTTGTTTCTTTATTTCCCATCTGCAGCTGCCGTTTTGAATCTTCTTTTCCCTTCCACTCGTTTCCTTCAACCTGGGACCAATCAGCACTTCCTGACATAGGCTATAAGGTATTCTCTTTTATCTGTCCATAGCAGCAACCTCTGTTGAAAAAGGTTTTCTGCCATCTTTAAAAACTCCTTCCATATGCAGTGAGGGAGCTTCCTTCCCCTTTTCCTTCTCCACTTCTCCACTTTTCTCCACTTTTTTTTTTTTTTTTTATGGGTGGATGGAAAGTTGTGAAGTAAAGCAGATTCTTCCAGGTACATGCCAACCTCTTTCCTAGAACTAAGTCTGTATGGGGCTCAAAGGCATTCACGATTTGTTGGGGACCAGTATTCCTCTTTGCTCCTGGCCATCTGACCATTGCTTTAACGTTGACAGGGGTCATGCTTCACAACTTTTCTAGGGGAAGATGTTAGGCAAGGAAAATATTGTTTGGTGGCAAGCTTGGTTCATAAGCTGCTCTGTACCCCTGTAACTGCCATACCTTCCTACCTCTGGCCTATGTGACATAAAAGAAAGATGCTTGAAATAGTCTGAAATTGCTTCTGAAATTAGGACTTAGGTAGCTTGAAAGATACTTCTGTTTTTTGTGAACATCAACCAGAAATAAATGGGATACAACTATATGGCAAATGGTGATATGTGAACAGTTTTAATGGATGTACCCCATCATGGCCACTGGTAACATTCTACATAAACTTTCAGCATAAAATCTGAACAGAGAAGGGTCTGTCAAGTAGGGCATGCTCAGCAGTGTTATAAGCCAATCTTGAGTACTGAAATATTGCTGGATAATAAATTCTATCATCCCTGATAATTGACCATATTATTTGGGTATGTTAGGAGCGGTAGTCAATATCTGAGGGTCAAAGGTTGGGATAGGCTGATCTATAGACTAAGGTGCTTATTCATGCATCACACTAAACTATGACTTGTTTTTAATTGTGGTTGCTTAAATCATGGTGTCCTTGTACATATGTAATGCTTAACTGTAAATCAAGATTGGGTAATTTATAAGAGGAATCTGAAGGTTACAGGAGATGGAACAATGATACATAGTGATTAAGACTTTCTTATGTACATGGTGATGCTATGGTTTATAAACTACCATGGTTAGGTTCACTCAGTGTGAAGCCCACATCAAAATATGTTATAGTTACTTAGCCCAATGTGTGAACCCAATTATTATCTTTTTGAAAACTTATTCTGCTCCTATTTTGTTGTGTTTTTCCAAAGCATTTTATTTTATCTACCCGGATTATGTTATGAGCCCCTGTTTTGACTTGAAAGGATCAAATATAGACAGAATAAAAAATAATTATAGACCAAAAATAATTAAAGAAAGATTCATTCAGGATAGTTCTGATCTTGTTCCTAGCTGGTAGAGGTCTCTGATTCTTCTGAAGAATATCATGAAATCAAGGAGCTATTTGAGAAAACAATGGAAGGTTACATTATACATAGACTTCAAAGAATTCAGAATCCTTCTCTCTGGCAAGTCTTTCAGTGGTTTGTATTAGACTTTAATTTTCCTCCTGGGGAGTGGGAATCATGGTATAATAATTGGATCCCGATATAAGTATCTGGAACTTGTTTTATGCCTATTGAGTATTAGCACAATTGTGATTTTAATTTTTTGTAATCTTGTATCATGTCTATCTGGCTGTGGCTTTTCAGAGACTGAAGGATAATATAAATAAAAGCTAGGAAAGGGCCTTGGACATGGTTTAAGCCAGACTTTTCTAATCTGCGCCCTTTAGAGTTCTTGAGACTGCAACTCCCAGAATTTCTTTCAGCCACATTGGCTTATAATTCTGGGAGTTGGTATCTGTAATAGCCCTAGGACATCTGGAAGCACCAACTGTAGAGTTGGATCTAGTCCATTTTGACTTAGACCACTGCTGTCATGCTACAGCTCTGCAAAATTCTAGCACAGCTTCAGTATGTTAGAGATTGAACTACATTGCTATGCATATCCACTGCCACAGAATGATAGCCTAGCCTGATAGGTCTTGGAAAAATTAATTTGGTGAATACTTTGGGAAAGCTATATTAAATTCGGCTAACAAACATGCAAATACATTTACTGAATGTCCTTAGATTCTTTTGCTGTATGTCTTCCAAGGTGGAAGAGAGAAGTGATTTAAATTCTTTTTGACATCAAGTATAACTTGAAGTAGTTTGTTTCTAGGCAAAGGGAACAGATGAAGAAGTTGAATAGAGGAAAGGAAATTGATGAACGGTTCTTGTTCCACGGTACTAGCACATCTCACCTGTATGACATCTGTCGGCAAAACTTTGACTGGAGAATCTGTGGCACACATGGGACGCTGTATGGAAAAGGTACTGGTAAAGAAGTGCATTCTGGAAGAGCTAAGTATTTCCTATATTGACAGTTAGAATTCACACCGTTTGCAAGATTTGAAGATATCTGAATTTCAGCATCTTCAAGGATCACTTTTCTATCAATTTTCCCAGACTGTATGGAGAGTTAGGCAACCCTGGTGCCTATCAGATGTTTTGAACTTCAAATCCTATGAACCCCAGCCAGCATGGCTAACAGGGTTGGTGGGTAATCAAACATCTGGTCCTAACATGCTTATTGATTTCTATATGTGTATCTATCAACCTCAGCATAGGGCTTTACTAAAGTTTAATCTTTTTCTCCTCCCATTAAAGCTTAATAAACCGATTGTTCAAGTAATTGGAATATACTTGGGGCAATAGTGCTATTTTTAATACTAAGTAATGAATTATAAAACATCTGCTAAATACTGACTACTGAATAATGTCGCCTTCCAGTTACCACTCTGCCCTTCAGAATCCCAGTTGTATGATGCTGGAAGGCAATATTATAGATGGGCAGAACATGCAAATAGATGGTCTCGTATACATAGGGAAGAGAGCAGCTCTTCAATATCCATTAAGCTCCTTTGACAACCAGCATTGAAACTGCAGAGTCCTCATCCATAAAATGGAAGAGACAATGATTCTTCTCCTTATCTCTCTTCCTGCAACCATTAAAACAGTACCATCCCACTATAACGTATGTCTTTCTAAACTTTGGAAGTTGAAAAGAAATCTACACTTTTAGGTATTGTTAATTTGTTGCATTTTCATCCTGACTTTTATCTGAGAGCTCAAGTCTGCATATGTGGGAAGCTTCCTCCACATATGCACACTCACACTTTCTCTCAATGACACAAGCTGAACCTGCTGATACATCCCTCTTGCATGAAGATTGTGTTGCTCGGACTACATAAACAGCAGCTCTCAACTTTGAACAGTGGAAATAAAAGGGAGTGATCAGAAAAGTGGGAGAACATGTTCTTATAATG